AAGTGCCCTTTTGCAAGAAAATAATTCACATGGCCCTGCATCCTTAACAATACTGTCCCATATTTATTTAAACAATATGCACCTTCATTCTCTGTTTGAATCAGTACGAACCAGGGCTGCCAGATAAATCGTGAACAAATTTTAAATTATAATTATAAAATCGCAAAGACTGTTATTGTAATAGATTATTGTAATACATTGATCATGTATTTTGTCTACAAAACTGACTACACTGTCATCATCCACATATAGGTTTAACAGTTAATTAGTCCCCCCCAACAATATAACAGATTCTTATATTCCAAACGTGTACAATTTGAATGCATGTTTTGAATTATTCTATTATGTACAATGAAGCCTTTAATTCAAGAGCTGGAAAATGTGCAAGGACAAGTTACATCACAATGGTGAGTCACTGTTCATGATAACAATCTATTGAGCTTGAGCCTCTGAGTATCCCAATAACAATGCAGCAACAGATTGAGGTGAAAAGGATCTGTGAATTATATCACCAATAAACTCATTCATCATCAATGGCTTATAATGGTTTACTGAGGATTATATTTCAGGGGCCATTTCATTTACAGTATGTTGTAGACTGAAAACTCTAGCAATAGCTGACAGTACAAGTTGTAAACATGGCTAATGCGCACAATATAAGAATCATACAATAAGGCAAAGTGCGACAGTGTAGACCTGGATGTTCAATGTTTGATTAGATGTTGTTTTAACACAGTGATGGTAGCAGACAGACTGAGCAGAGTCACACCTCTCAGTCTGTGCTGGTTATTGTGCACTTGTGTGAGTGCTCACAGTCACTGCCTGTGACTGATGCCCCGCTGATCAACAGCCACTGACTCATTTACAAACACATTTGATTTTTTGCCGCTACATTAAGTACATTTTACGAATAACACTGACTGAATCGTATAGTGACGCACTCATTATCATTGAGTGTAAACATGTTGCCTGTTGTCCATTTTAAAGCACTGTGTGCACTATACACAATGTTAGCAACAATTTCTTTAGTTAATCTTTCAGTGGTAGAATGTAAGTTTGTGTTGAACCCCCCTGCTCCTTGTGCAGGCTGTCAATGGTGTCACTGACAGATGCTGCTGCCTCTTTATTTGGTCAGATTTCAATAACGAGACCCAGAGCCAGATCGGCGTCTGTACACCCCCCTAACCCACACATGAACATGAACACGCACACGCACACACATGCACAAACACACACGCACACATACCCCTTGTGGAGCAGAGCAATGGAGCAGTGACATGCACGGACATAGATTAAATTAGTTCAAGACTTAAACTTAAATTACATCAAGAAAGACATCGTCAGTGAATACATTAAATAATTAAAGCAAAACCATGTTGATTAATAAAAGGGAAATACAATTTTACATGATCTTGTCATTACATTTTTATTGGGTCATATAAATGGATTTTCTGTCTCATTCAATTTGACAGTTATTGTTCTTACTTCTTTTTTGTTACAAATAAAACAAAGTATGTAGTACATTATACACTATTGCTTACCCATATCCCACAACAATATATTGCTGTCTGTCCTAAAGTTTAAATCAAATAAGAAAATCTGATTATTGGCTTTCATGGCTGACCGTTTCCCACCAGCCTCACAAAAGCAGCAGGCAGATCCAGTAAATTCCTTGGCCAAGCAGATAATGTGGAAATGTTGACAACAGCAAATTTGAGGCGCATGAGTGATTTAAGGACTGCAGTTGGTGACATGGAGCAGAAGAAATGAGCACACTGGCCTAAAAACGACTGTCACTCTAAAGCACACTGAATATTAATGAAGTATTCCTCGCATTGGGTTTGTTTTAAGACCTCTGATTGAGGTGCTTGTATTTCACACAAAGATGACTGGAACCGGTTTACTCCATCGCACCAGTTAATATTTAATTTCATGGAATTTGATTGTGACTATTTTTATGCTTGTAACATAAAGCCTTTTCCTATTGTTCTAAATAAACAGAATGTTGCGTACTTTCTTGTAGATGTTACACATGTCAGAACGTGTTGCCATCATTCACTTCCAGTTTCTGTTCATCTCAATTACTACCCCGCTATTACATCATTTTCTTTTCATTTTATATCATCATCAGCAAATATCAAATCTACTGCATGCGGTTGAGTATAATAGAGCCATATTTATGAATTGAAATGTGTGCATATATATCACAGTGGGTTGCAACGAGATTTGTAATTTTATTGCCCGCTGTATATCAAATGACACTAATGGCTTTAGCAGACTGCGGCACGCACCACATTCACACAAAGCTCTTTTCATATTAACTGAGATTATATTATACATATCAGATTCGGATTTTTTATTTCACAGCAAGAGCCACATGTTAGAGGAATAAATGGCATATTTTAAACAAACCAAATAAACAGTAGGAAAAACAATATCAACTTGATCTGGATCCAATGCTAAAGTGCTTACTTGTTATGCTAAAGCTAGAGATGTTATACTTGCTTTTCTTATGTTAAAGTTTGAGATTTAATTTGATTTTATTTTAGTATGTAGTTATTATTCATATATCTTGTGTTGTGTGCTCCTCATTCCTACAGTTCTGTAATCGGTGATCTCTCCATCTTAATCTTAACTCATACCAACATTCAAAATCTCAGATAACACAAACATCATCGTTGATCTCATACCAGTGTATAATCACTATATGTACTATGTTCAAATAATACAAGTCCTGAAATGCCAAGGTAAACCTTTATATTGATTTACTCATTACCAAACAACAAATGTGTTTTTCAATATAAAGACTGAAGGTAACCGAAAAAGACAAAGGAACAACTACATTTTTTTTAACTCTGCTATAAGAGTTATTTAAAAGCATTAATAGATTAATATTCTTTTATCAGACCTTGTTATTCTCTGTTGGGCATTTTCGAGTAACGAGTCAGACTTAACCCTAGTTATAACTGACTAAGAAGTCTCTTTAAGGTAGAAGTACTATGACAGTATTATAACAAAATGATTAGGAAATGCTAAAATGAATATTAAAAAGCAAGGTTGAGACTTTCTACCACGCTTCTTCTTAATGCTGGATATGTGCTCAGACCTGTTGTTACTTACTCTTGCCTCACTATGATGTCATGTGAGTCAACCATGTTTCATCTTAATCAAGTGTAAAGTGAGACAAGAACAGCGCAGATCTTATCCCCCCTACATTTAAAGTCACAGCACATTTATTGCCCAACCTTCACCGTAGTTTAGTATTAATCCTGGAAACAGCCTTATCTTTTCATTGTCAGAAAAGGAAAGAGTGTGTTTCACACTCTCTTACAGTTGTGAGCCAAGCAGAGGTTGCACCACACCATATTGTGTAATGTCATCAATGTCATGAACAGCTCCAGCCCGGACACTATTGTAGTTTATGAGGTCAAAGGCTTTACAGTGTGTCCTGAAAATGTTATGCTACAGTACACCACAGCTGTTTGATCCAGAGAGAGAAAGAGAGAGACCAGCACTGCACCCAGAGAGAAACAAATTGCATAATGTTCTACAGCGCTTATGTAGCCAAAGCCCAATCCAATTAGATATCTTACAAATAGGTAAGGTATTCTGTATTAGGAAAGGCTGTCTGGAAAAAAAAGAATAGTAAATAGTGCATACACTAGTGTCTAGTGTCATGTTCTGACACGAATACACACACCCAATGTGCCAATGTGCATCTTTCGCTGTGTATATTTTTTAATGCCTTGCGGCTAAGTTTCAAGTTGAGTCTAATCAAGTGAAATACTGTGAGGGCCCTCGGGAGAAAGGTCTGACGTTGACCGCTCACAATCTAATCCCTGGCATTTGAAAGCAAGCCTCATCTTCATTGCAGTGAGCTGTAATTGTACATGACAGCCCACGAATAACCACACGGACAAATATTAGTCCTTTGTCTTCAACATGTTTCCTTGATTATTTTCTTTGACGTCTTTTCACTATTATTAAATTAATTGATCAAATGTATTATTGTATGGCTTCTGTGTCCTTCTCTTCACCAGCCTAGATTACATAGCTATGATGCTCTTTTACGCTTGAACAAATAATTTTACAATGTAAACTTAAAAAGTGTTTAGTCTGCACAAGACAAGGTGAAATTCTCGCTCGTTGGCCATCCTTGAAATAATAACTCACCGTCCAGAATTTCCCATGAATGTCATGTTCAAGGGCTTTGTACAAGCATCTGAGACAGTAAATTATTCATATAAAAAAACCCTGTTTGAAACTGCCTGGCTCTGCTTCTTCAACTGTTGGACCATATAGTTGCCATTGTGCGCCAGAATTTTTTTTCCAGAGTTTTCTGCTTTCAAGAACAGGTCATTACAGATCTTTGCTGGAAACAAACAAAGTCAATTATCTTCAGATTAATATGTATAATATAATATAATATAATAATGTTTTAATCTCCAAATATTACCCGTCTACTTTGTCACTGTCTGTTTTAAAGTGCATTACTTGTATCTTTGATTACGTAAAGTAGGTTTTAACTGTGTGTTGTGACAGCATTATAAGATTTGACCCACTTTTTGCCATTATTGGACTCTATGTATGGCTGTTCTTATCTTGTCCGCTTTTATGGCTTCCTTGTGTACTGTATTGTATTAAACGGATGTGATTTGTTTGCCAGCTGGTTGTCACAGGTGGTAAAGGATTAGTCAAGTCTCTGCTGCTGTATTCATTACAGGCCCACATGAAACAACCACAAGTTAGTGTGCGCCATTTACCCGGCTTTGTTTAAACTTTCTGAGGCGGTGAAAAGAGATCATGTAACTACACCGCAGCCTGCCTTCAGCGGTCACTAGAGGGTTGGATTACTTTCAAACTAACCAACTGAGTATTTCACTACTTACTAATCAAAATATTTTTACAGCTGCCATCTGCTAGGGACAAGTTGTCCAGAACTGTGAATAATCCTGTATTGTTTCCTTTGACACTCATTAGGCCTCTTTGTGTTTTCTTAGGTCAGGAGGAGGATGGTCGTAAAGTACTGGTCTTGAGTTACCCTCAGTACTGTCGGTACCGTTCGCTACTGGTGCGTCTCCGGGAGCAGCCCTCATCTCTGCTCCTTGACCACACGGTGCTGGCACTGGGGGGCATCGCAGCTCTGGGAGGGGCCACCAAGATCCTTTACTGCAGAGACACCTTCGAACACCCTTCCCTCCTACACAACGACAGCATCTGTGACCAATTTGGTGAGTTTGATCGTAAGGTTTAAGTGGTTATTTCAAGCAACAAAAATATGCCCCACGCGGCTTTCAGTCAATACATACTTGATAAATAAATTGACGCCGTTAAGAGGAGTTTGCGTTAATGCTGTTATTAAAGCGTTTAACTGCCAGCCCTAATATATTTAAAGTAGGACAAGGGCACATTTACCATTTCAGATCTGTGTAGTGATCCACAATGAGAGAGATAGAGAGACAGTTAAGTTAAGTTTGTGCCAAAAAAGTAAAGCGAATGGAGATAAACAACTAGATGTGATGAGGGAACAATGTTTCTGGAAAAACATGCATCAATATATTCAATTCTTTTTTCAATTTTTAGTTTTTGGCAATGACTTAAAATCCAAGTCATGAATTAATACATAGCTTAATTACTATAATAATTGATAGCAGCAGCCCTACAATTTTGTATCTTGGTAAAACGTACATTTTGCATAATCCTGTCCTTTAAGTCAGGCAATGGTTGCGTTCTAAATGCTGCTCTGCTTGTGATTTATGTGAGAACAGGAAAGCTATTATGTGTCATCTTCAAATATCTATTTCTAAGCATGTAGCATCAACCTTTTCGTAAATGTACCTACGTTATGCCACATTTTTTACACTTAATTACATTGACTCATTTACAAGAGGAATCTTTAAAATTCTCCACTTTGAGCACAGATGTGCTTTCATCACCAGTTACGTTATAATGAAAAAGATGGTGAGCCAGCGCGCAGATGAAGTGGGCTGCTGGGTATTTTGAGCACAAACGCGTATGTGGGATGGACTTAAATAAACCATAGCACTAGAGTTTAATACTGTGAAACTATGTGTCACCCTGAGCAACAGTGTGTGGCTCATTTGAGTGTTTTACATACTCTCTGTAATGTGAATCTGTGTAAAGTGTAAGTGTCAAGTACATTGACTAAACTTGATTCTGTGTTGTCATTGTTCTATGTGCATTAGTAAGTGCAGTGTATGACTATTTTGCTGTTGTTTTATTGCTCTAATTATTGTAATTCTCTTCCTGTAATTGCTTTGATCTTGATTGGAGTCATAGAGACCTATAGTGAATACTTTCCCGCTCTCTTTTTCTGTTTTCTTTTAAAGCTTTATTCTCTGTGGCTCCAACCAGTCTCTTCATGTCGAGTGTTTATGAACATTAAGTGACTGTGTCTGTCTCATATACCGGTTACACATCTCACAGCCATGAGGAATATGAAAAGTGTCTATTTTTCCAGTCTCTTTTTATTAACCTTGGTGTCCAGCTAAAACAAAGCATAATAACATGATTCACCTCTTTTTATATTTCCTTGCTACAGCTCTGGGCACTTGTGTTGGATCAGTTCTGACATTCCCAGTAATAAGTGGTCCACTCCTTAAGTCATTGTTTTCTGATGCTATAACTTCATCCATCGGTATTTGGTTTTACAAGATCTGCAGAAGTGAAGGCAGGAGGAAAATGGTTTTGGGCTCAGGAAAATAAGTTATGAATAGTAACTTGACTTCCTGTGGCTGCTGTTGCTCATTCACTTGGCCCAATAAAGCCATTCCTGACTGGGCCACATTTAAGCTAAGGTTTATTTTGAGAGCCTCGGGGAGCTCCGGGTCTGACTGTAAAGTGCTGTTACTCACATGAGGCTTTATGAGGGCTGAACCACCTTTAAACACGCTGTAAGTGCTGTGTTTGTGAATGTGTCAGACTGTTAAGACAAGTCATTTTAATATGATATATATTATAAACACATGATGTTTGAACAGAATAAGCATAATTTTCACACATGTTGCAATACACTTAACAGTAAGACTTGACAATGATTGATACATTGACTTTTAAGACAAATGTTAATGCAAGTTCTTACTAAAGTATTACTTGTAGTACTTTATATTGCTATAAAGTACCAAACAGTGCACATTGTAAAAACAAAACGTCAAATTTTTGTCTCAACTATTTTAGGTGATTTAGGTAGGTTATCTTGGTGCAATGCCACAATATTGACAGAGGTAGTATTTCTGAATTATTTATATTTATATACATGGGGTTTCCACTGTATGTAATATGTAAACATCCCATCATGTTTCACTCTTTGAACCAAGTCTTGTAGGAATTGTGTCTTTCCCCTAGCTGTAGAAAATTGACCTGAGAAACAGTTATAAGACTTTGTTCTCACCCTGCACTGATGCTAATTTTGACCTTTTAAATTCAACCAAATGTGCTGTGGCAGCTCTAATAGCTGTCCATCTTGTTTGAGCTAATTCATAAAAGTGTGTCAGGTGACCTCAGGGGGTAGAGAAGAAGAAGAGAGGAATCTAATATGCATTTGTGGAGAGTCTCTGTTCAGATCGAAGGAAAGCCTGCTCCTTTCTGTATACTCCTCAAATTTGTTCAACATAAGCTAAGGGGTGTGCACTATTGATTAACCCCATATCTGACATTACGCACTCTGTATTGATTTGGATATTTTGATGGGCCCCTGCATCTCCCTCCCTGTTCTGTACATAATTCATGGTTTTTGTTCCTGTCACATTCGATGTCCTTGGCTATGAGCGGGCCCAAACTGCAGGTTGTGTGCGTAAACAGATCTAGGAGCCCTGCGATCCATATTCATGTCGGGCATCATCTGTCACCCCTGCAGCTGCTCGCCTCACGGGGAATGACACAGTTTTTGTTTATAATTATCGTGCATTCTTTGCCAGTGAGCGATTGATTATACCCATGCTACTTTACTACTCCGCTTTCATTCGTGCCTGTAGAAATGCAATATTAGAAATCACTGTGAAGAAAAACTTGCTCGAAAAATATAAACAAAGTCTCACATACTCTATAATGATATTGGCATTTCTGTGGCAGTGCTTGGGCTGTGAGTAAAACGCCAGAAATAGTGTGAGTGGGCCCGGCTTTGGGAGCAGTGAATGACAGATGACAGTTGTGCTATTAGCTGTCATGACACTGTCAGGCACATATATTTGACATCGATGCGCAGAGGCTGGAGCTTAAGCATTTGTAGCCTGGTCTTTGCTGTAATGTATATCTCGCCTCTGCTTAAATAGGGCTTTAGTTCACCCTGACAGATGCTCTTTTAAGGAAATATTATGACTAAAATTCCTGCCATATTCCCCTGATTTCAAAGCTATGCCCCAGAACTGCTGACCTTCCTGTCACCTCCCTGGTCAGAAACCTTACACTGCTTATGTGCACATTGCTTAAATCAACAGCTTTTGCAGAGTTTGTGAAGCAATCGATTTTGAAGAATAGCAGCTGACTCGTTCAACTTGTTTCTCATTTGTTGTGCATTTCCAAGACCAATCTCTTTTGGCACTGTTTGTCGTCATATTGAGCACTAAAAATGTACATTTTATCCATTGTACAAAATGTCAAATGTCAATATTTTTACTCAACAAGGCAGTGGAAGAAGCACATATGTGATTTATTAATGCAATGCATTTGCAGTATCCAGAAGCCCTGTTCAATGTAGTAGTGTGAAATAGTGACTCACAGAGCTCTTTCTTATTATGCAAACATGATTTTTATCAAGTTAAACACAGCTTGTTATGTTCTGATTGTGACCTTTGCAAGACTTTCTGTTTGGACAAACACAATGTATTATTGAGGAAGAAAAATTAAAGTCCCCAGCTTTAACTATAGAACTATAATGATAATATTCTAAAATGTTAGTAAAGTACATTATTAATAGTGCTTAAAATAATTGTATTAATTAGTAGTAAGTGAAAACCATCCAAGTTGTATTTTTTTGACTCTCTGAAGCTTAACTTGTGACTTTGTAGAAAGTAATATAAATAAATGATACACATTTATTTCCTCTCAATATTGTTGCATTGATTCATTATACATAATTAGGTTCAAAATAACTGACCTAAATTAAAAGCAAAACATTTAATCTAGAGTACAGTAGTTTTACAGAATATAAACATCTGTTTTCCACTGTATTTCTGTATGCAATATTGTACCTCATTGTTAATATTGATAATTAAAGAATATATATTTGTACTATTTGCGCTAAACATTGTCTCAAAAAGAGGCTTGTTGGGTTTGGTCACCATTTAAAACTATGGAAATGATGTCATTGTTTCTCCAACTTGAACCACTTTCACTGTCGTCTTTCTTTAAACATGAAATCTGATTAGATGAAATATGCATACAGCAATAAGGCCCCATGACAGCACCGTCTGTTAATGTAATAGGCAAATTGCTTACTAAGCTCATGTTTTCCCATCTCCTCTGCAGATTTGTCTTAACCACCGGCCTATGAATTTTTCATCGTCCATATGTCACGGGTATACATGGGATGTTGAAGAGGACTTTAGAGGAGAAAAGAGAATGTTAATAATAATGTATTTTTATACTCTAAATAAACAATAAATGTAGTGATTATGATGAAAATGTAATTTTCAAAAGCCCTGTCTGTATATAGACCACATGCTTGTTGAGCATGTGGTCTATAGACAGTCAAAAATGCTTTTCATCCAGCATTAGTAAAACATGTCTCTAATACATGACAATTTTGCCAATTATTTCTGCTGTGCCTTGATAAGGAGGACCTATTTGAACAGGGACCATTATGTAGAAAAACCTTTCAGCAGCCTTGACCTGCTTTTTATTTACAGCTCCCAATGTCTCGCAGAAAACCAGTGAAAAATAGAATTAACCACACATTTAGTTAAATGTTTGTCCAATAAACACAAAGATCTTAGTGATTTGCATTGAGAACATTGCAGAAGGCTGCGCTTTCACCAGCACTGAGGTATCTTCTATGCGCCAGAAAACAGATTTTTTATTTATTTATGACTCACTCAAAATAGATTTACTTTCTTCTCAATATGTGAATGGCATTTTGTAGTAAAAAGAAGAAGAATATAATAATCTCCCAAGGATGTTAGAAGGTTCACACCACATTACGTATCTATCAGTTAATTACTAATGTCTTCCAGTTCTTATATAAATGTTAACTTTGTTACATGGAACAAAGAGA